TAGAGAGGAGCAGAGTGAGAGATAGCTGTGTATATTACATAGAGAGGAGATGACTGAGAGATAGCTGTGTATATTATATAGAGAGGAGCAGAGTGATAGATAGCTGTGTATATTATATAGAGAGGAGCAGAGTGAGAGATAGCTGTGTATATTATATAGAGAGGAGCAGAGTGAGAGATAGCTGTGTATATTATATAGAGAGGAGCAGAGCGAGAGATAGCTGTGTATATTATATAGAGAGGAGCAGAGTGAGAGATAGCTGTGTATATTATATAGAGAGGAGCAGAGTGAGAGATAGCTGTGTATATTACATAGAGAGGAGATGACTGAGAGATAGCTGTGTATATTATATAGAGAGGAGCAGAGTGATAGATAGCTGTGCATATTATATAGAGAGGAGCAGAGTGAGAGATAGCTGTGTATATTATATAGAGAGGAGCAGAGCGAGAGATAGCTGTGTATATTATATAGAGAGGAGCAGAGTGAGAGATAGCTGTGTATATTATATAGAGAGGAGCAGAGTGAAAGATAGCTGTGTATATTATATAGAGAGGAGCAGTGCGAGAGATAGCTGTGTATATTATATAGAGAGGAGCAGTGCGAGAGATAGCTGTGTATATTATATAGAGAGGAGCAGAGTGAGAGATAGCTGTGTGCTATATTACGTTGAGAGAAGTTGAGGAATATTAGACCTGTTATTATTTATTTTTTTACTTTACCTGAGACTATTAATCTGGTTCCAGCTCCATGAACAGTAAATGTTTCATATTTGTTAGTTCCAACACAGACCCGGAGTATCACCAAGCAGTAATACAATGTATTATTGTCTGTTTCTCGCACATTCTGTACGTAAAGATCCGCCTGCCCTCTCAGGTCTGTCCTTCCTTTGTAAGTAGGACTGATCAGCCTATGTGAGGGATCATACACATAATCACCAGTAGGGCTGCCCAATCTCCAGTAGATCCCAATCCATAGAGGGGCTATTTCTTCAGAGTAATTATATGAGCAGTTAATAGTCACTGAGCCTCGTAGTGTGGCCGAAGAGTCCTGTGGTTGTTGAACAGTTAGCTCTGTATTTGATAGCGATTCTGAAATGCAGTAAATAAAGAACTGCTAGGATTTGATCATTTTAAGGCACAGGCAACTCATCTATTTTGTAATGGAAAATTAAATGATATTTATGCTTGGTTTATTTATTAGCTATTAACTACAATTAGTTCAAATTTCCAAAGCATATTATACAAGCTGAACACAACATTTATATTAAATGTATTGGGAGCTACAGACCATGGTAACTCCCGTAACACACCAACACGAGGGAGGTGAAAAGCACAGAAATCTCTCAAATATAACAACAAAATATACAAGAAAAAAAATATGAATAAAATAAAAATAAAAAATAAACTCTTAGGAGATGCTGTAATAATGCCACTTACCATAAAACACAGGGTGACTAACTGAGATATTATGAAAACATAAATAAGGAGCGTGGCATAAACAAAATAAACCCTAACCAAATACCATTATAAGCAAATAGCTACATGTATTAAACATCTATAGTAAGGGAAATAAAGTACCTCGTACCACATGAAACTGGCTAGTTCGACAGGAGGCGCATATGCAATTAGATATCACATAAAAATCAAATAATAATCAAGTGTTTTACATATTACAAAATAATCATAATAATATAAATTCCTTGTAAAAGAGAAAACACAAAATATACTTAAAGGAACACTATAGTCACCTAAATTACTTTAGCTAAATAAAGCAGTTTTAGTGTATAGATCATTCCCCTGCAATTTCACTGCTCAATTCACTGTCATTTAGGAGTTAAATCACTTTGTTTCTGTTTATGCAGCCCTAGCCACACCTCCCCTGGCTATGATTGACAGAGCCTGCATGAAAAAAAAACTGGTTTCACTTTCAAACAGATGTAATTTACCTTAAATAATTGTATCTCAATCTCTAAATTGAACTTTAATCACATACAGGAGGCTCTTGCAGGGTCTAGCAAGCTATTAACATAGCAGGGGATAAGAAAATCTTAATTAAACAGAACTTGCAATAAAGAAAGCCTAAATAGGGCTCTCTTTACAGGAAGTGTTTATGGAAGGCTGTGCAAGTCACATGCAGGGAGGTGTGACTAGGGTTCATAAACAAAGGGATTTAACTCCTAAAATGGCAGAGGATTGAGCAGTGAGGCTGCAGGGGCATGTTCTATACACCAAAACTGCTTCATTAAGCTAAAGTTGTTCAGGTGACTATAGTATCCCTTTAATTGGTGAAAATATCCACAAATAAGTTCCATATCCCTAGGTAAAGGGGAAGAAGAGAAAGAGGGTGAATGAGGATAATAAAATAATATAAATGGAACCCACAGTATTCATATAAATCAGTTGTTTTGGTATAATATTGCCACAATTTGGTTTATT